TCAGATTGATCACATCAAGATCAGCTACCGCTAGCGTGGTTGTTACAAGACTGCCGCTCCTTTTGAAGTACCTATTTGAACTCTGATCATGCCCTGGTCTGCGCCAATCTTACCTTACTTTTCAGTGGACAACGAAGTGACCTTCACCAAAGGATTGATGTCAGCAAGTTGGTTGCAACTTCTGTTGCTAGTAAGTATCGAACCGAGCTAGCTTCTAGGCTAGCTACCATTCCACCGAAAAGTATAGATGAGCATTGGTTGCAATTGCATGACGCCATGAAAATGGCGGGTACAGTCAGTTGCGGCTTCAAGAAACGTCCCGCTTATAAGCACTGGGTTTCTTCAGGCTCCTTACAACTCGTTGAAGCCCGTTGGTCTACTTAGGGTGGCCGTGAGTTTGATCACAAACGAAGGCTGTTATGTAATGAAATCGGTCAAAGCTTGCGTAAGGACCGAGAAGCCTGGTGGTCGGAGAGCGCTAATGAGCTGGAAGCAGCATCTGAACCTGGTAACTACCGGAAGCCCTTCCAACTCATCCGAGCCACTGGCAGCAAGAAGTCTGGTGTGAGCGAAACAATCTGCGAGGATGACGATATGCCAATCACTAACATCGATCGACATCTTTGACGATGGGCAGAATTCTTAGAAGGGAAGTTCAACTGGCCCGCTGCTTCGGGCTGTAGGTACGGTATGTGCTTTGCACCTTCGAAGTGCAAAGTACTTCTACAAGACTGGCAGGATTCTAATCCTGTACTCTCCCTGGATGGTGAGCAGATAGAAATAGTCGAGAAGTTCGTGTATCTGGGTAGCTGCATATGTGCTGGTGGGGATGTGAGTGATGAGATCAATGCACGAATAGTGAAAGCCAGAGCGGCTTATGCCAATCTGGGCCATCTATGGCGCCTTCGTGATGTTAGTCTGGCCGTAAAAGGTCGGATCTACAACGCGTCGGTGAGAGCAGTTTTGCTCTATGCTTGTGAAACTTGACCTCTCCGAGTTGAGGATGTTAGACGACACTCTGTGTTTGATCATCGTTGTCTCCGAAGGATTGAGGACATCCAGTGGCAACACCAAGTCAGTAATGCAGAGGTTCGGCATCGTGTGTTCGGGCACAGAGACGATAATGCAATTGGTGTCACCATCTTGAAACATCGATTTCGGTGGCTTGGACATGTTCTCCGAATGTCGTCCCAGAGAATTCCATGTCCTGCATTATTTGCCGACTCTGGGACTGGTTGGAAAAAGTGGAGAGGTGGTCAGTGTATGACATGGTGTCGTGGCATGAAAGAAAGCTGCAAAGGGCTGGCTTGTGTTGGTCCTTCACGGCTCCCTGGCTGGGGTCCGAGAGATGGTGAAACACAGTGGGTAGAGACGTCATCTGATATTGCTCAGAATAGAAGCCAGTGGCAATCTTGCTGTAACCTTCGTTTGCTTTCTTCATAAAAAGTGGTTGTATCTTCCTTAACTGAAAGATTGCTTCTGATTGTACCTTTCCGTTCCCCCATTATTACCATTATTATTACACTACCTTACACTGATCTGTTCGTTATTGTCTTTCCTATTTTCTTTTACGCCCTTTACCTTCTTTTTTTCCCCTTCCCATTCTCGTTGTTTGTGTGGCGCATATATATTTGGTTCCCTCTTGTACCAATATTTATGTGTTCGAATAAATAAATATGTTTTTTCTTTGTGTGGCTTTGGTGATTAACAAGCATGATGGTGTGGAAATAACTTCAATCCACCCATGCCTGTAGAGCAGAACACTTTGTTTAATTACGGCTCCTTATGGTCTGGAGGAATGTCACGAATGGTATTGATGCTGATTTGTCATGCAGAATACCTCATTAAATCGTGTTTAGAAAGTTTAATTGGTTTCACTTCCTACCCAGTAATTTTATTACAAACAAACCAGACAATTCGCTAAAAACGAAGCCTACTCTAGACCCTATAAAATCTAAAAAGGGCTCCAATAGCTTCGACAAAAAAAGGAAAACAGCAATTTGTGTATAACAGTACTGTTTTTAGTACTATATTTTATAAATAAACATTATCCCATACTCTCAGCTTCGTTCTGAACCACCTCCATTCTTCATTTGTTTATCCATTTGTACCATGTAAACACATTTCCTTTAACGTATTAGAATGCTCTTGCCTAATAAATACTTCAATAAGAGAGAACTTGACTGAATAGTCATTCCTTAACTATTCCTCCGTCAACATTGTCTGCTCTGCTTCTCGTCTTTTCTTTTTCTTGCACCCTTTTACAGTATAGCGACTCACGTGCAAATGAGTTTAGTCTCATCTAACGCAGTTAAGCCCTTTTGCTAACTCATTTAGCGGACAAAGTCATCCGCACTATAACAACTTATTGTACCCTTATTATTTTGTGCTTGTATGAAATACGTATGCTTGATATTGCTTACGGCCTACGCATTTATTCACTCTGCTAGTCTTACTACTAACTGATTATTTGATTCGATTACTCATTCATTTCACATGCTATATATATGTCCATGTTATTCATACTCACTCACTCACTCACTCACTCACTCACTCACTCACTCACTCACTCACTCACTCACTCACTCACTCACTCACTCACTCACTCACTCACTCACTCACTCACTCACTCACTCACTCACTCACTCACTCACTCACTCACTCACTCACTCACTCACTCACTCACTCACTCACTCACTCACTCACTCACTCACTCACTCACTCACTCACTCACTCACTCACTCACTCACTCACTCACTCACTCACTCACTCACTCACTCACTCACTCACTCACTCACTCACTCACTCACTCACTCACTCACTCACTCACTCACTCACTCACTCACTCACTCACTCACTCACTCACTCACTCACTCACTCACTCACTCACTCACTCACTCACTCACTCACTCACTCACTCACTCACTCACTCACTCACTCACTCACTCACTCACTCACACACTCTCGTCTCGCTCTTGCTATGGCCCTCGCTCGCTTGCTTGCCTTTCGGCACAACTCTTCTATGCTTGTTTAACGCATCTGTACATTTGGATATGTGTGTGGTCTCGTAATAAACGTAATCAACACTTCGTATTTGCCTTCTGATTAATATACCGTTGGGACGTTACATAGAACGGTCACCAAGACGAGCTGTATACGAAGTTTAAAGATTATATCGAATACCGACCACCACAACAGCCCCCTTGAGACATGCCACTGAAAACAGATATGGAACGGGTGGTCCCGTCCTGCACCATCATAAAATCCTCAGATATTCCAAAGGGATATAAGGTTGCGATTTCTAGAAGCTCCTGATGATGATAGAAATAAGTTAATTTTTTCTTCGCGTTAGCCGCGTTTTAACGCGCCAAATCATTTAAATAATGTGGCACCCAGGTGATTTGTGTTGTGACCCCCTCTTTTTGCTTCAAACTCTTAAGGTATGCTGCTTAGAGTCTCATCTGATTTTACGCTAGTAAACGTCATGTTGTTCCATAATAATCGGTGATTGCCTAATATACCGTCATTGTTTTTTTCTTCATAAATACGTGGAATTCCACGTTTAAAGTGGTCGGTCGGACGAGTTTTATTGATAAAACAATGATAAGTCGACAACCTTAGGCGAATTCGGGAGTGAGTGTAAGGTTAATCAATTCAGAATGCAGCCTTCGTGTGAAAGCTCCAAAACATAAAGTAATAGAATCACAGATTAGTAATTTTAAATGTTCACTTTTCAGTAATAAGGACAGGTCTATCGACCTATGTTAATCCTTGCAGTTTGTAACACTGTGGAGGTCCAATATCGTTTTGAATATATCGAAAGAATGTGGTATTACGTGTTCTGGCAGAAAATTCCAGTAGTTCACTACTCGGTGCAAGAAACGAAACTACAGATGTAGACAATTTGATCTCGGTTTTTGAGCTTTCTTATTGTTGTTAGTGCTACATATCGATAAGTTGAGCTAGAGTTCATAGTTGTGCAATATATACAGACACTTAATCTTGGCTTTTTATCTTTTAACATTTAACTCTTAGCACTAAAGCTTCTGAACACTAACTTAAAACCCCTATACTCCCAACGTAAACACACTTTTGGCTCCATGTTCATCATGTTTGGTTCTACCTTCTATTTCCAGACTGCATTTTCCTCATCATGTTTGTATCTAATTTCGGGAGATTGTTAATAGAGAGAGCACCAGTTCCAGAATTGACAACCTGAGTAGAGCACATAAGACTTTAGCCAGATGACTTTTATCCTCGGTCGTGGAATAAATGCATCTATTGAAAACAATAGTGATGAAAAAATATTCTGTCAGCAGTATGGTTCAGGCTGAAATGATGAATCCTTTGTTGACCCCATCGATCTGGCGTGTTCACCTTCATATATAAACTGGACTTTACATATAGATATCCTTAACAACTATATGTGTGATCAGATTGCTCGAAACGTATTGCGCTAATATATCACAGTTCCGATGATCTCCATCTTCTTATTACACTATTCGAATCTGTCAAAGGAATTAATTGCTTATAATGTTGTACTAACCATTTTGGTTAAGAAGCTGGAGTCAGTTCTTTCAAACAATCTTAACGGGACTCTAGCTTCCTACCAGAATGTATATTACAATAACAGTATAACCGCAAATATACACAGGATAGTTCTAGTCAACAAACGATTCCTCATTTCAGCCAGAACAACAGAATATTTTTCATTGCTATTGTTATCAATATATGCATTAATTCCATATTAGCCTGTTTTACCAATAAATTTTAAATACACGTTTGCATAATTTCATCAAATTCTTTTGTCATCAAGTTAGGTTTTTAGTCGTAGCCTTTATGGACTTTTGATTTCTGACCAGATTTTCCATCCTTCAAGACGACTTATCAGCGATAAGCATTGTCACATCGCTGCAAGTTCATGACACGTCCTCACTCTCGTGTTTTGGCCATCGCGTTTGTCATAGTCATATGTATCCTGTTGTCTACGTACATATATAATGTTTGTGAGTAAATTTTATTAACACATATGCCTTAGAATCATAAAAGGAGCGTGAACATTGTTAGACGTAGAGGTTTTTCTTCTGAACTGCAATACTTCGGTAAGAGTTACAAGGTTTTAGAAAGGTATTTTGTTTTCTATTCTTTGTTTGTCTACAACTTATTCATCAGGCACACTGCTTGTTTAGAATTCATTTAATATATTTTCTCTTTGAATTGGTAAACGGTGCACTTCATACGTGCTAAACACTGAAATAATCAACATAGTGTAGGGGTAGGTTGGAAGAAAGCTAGGGTCGGCCAGACCAAAACATGGCACAAATCCATAAAGTCGCTGACAAGTGGACTGAGCCATGTTGGTAGGTGTAGACTACCTGGTTGGGATCCGAGAGATGATAGCAATCGATGGTTAGAGACCTTGAATGACATGGCTCAAAATCGTTTGCATTGGCTCAGGTGCATCCACTCTTTTTGTTTTCCCAAATTCTAGTCTTTTGAATTCTTCATGTCCCTTTTTTTTCTCTTTCCAAATTTACTTCACTGGATTATACTCTTTGAATAACATATTCAAACCCTAATTTTTCCGATTACTGCTAAAAATTTTACTACCTCTACCACTATGGGATTTGAATCGACAACTGCATCTGTATGCGTCGATAACTTCTGATCAGCCCTAATGGATTGGTGTCTGACGAAATCTCAGCACGGATTCTAGAAGCTCGTTTGGCTTTTGCCAACGTACGTCACCTATGGCGAAGGCGAGATATCCGTCCACCAATTAAGGGACGAGTATACTACGCGGCAGTTCGTTTTGTTCTACTTTACGGCTGCCAAACGTGACCACTAAGAGTAGAAGATATTCGTAAGCTAATAGTATTTGACCACAGATATCTTGGAAATATAGCTCGCATCTACTGGGATCACTGAGTAAGTAATAGTAAGGTTAGACACAGGGTATTAGAAAATGATGGTAAATCAGTTGACGAAGTTGTGAATCTTCATAGACTAAGATGATTGGGCCACGTGTTGCGTATGCCTGAACACCGATTACCATGACGCGCAATGCTGACTAGTGTTGGGGATGGTTGGAAGGAAGTTAGGGGTGACCAAACCAAAACGTGGCATCAGTGCTTTAGGTCACCAACTTCTAGTCTGAACCATCTTGGTAGATGCTGGCTACTTATTTGGGGTCCGTGTGACTATTGTAACCAATGGTTGAAGACTGAGTGACATGGCTGAAAATCGATCACAATGGCGTAGGTGTATACACTCTTTGTCTTCCCTTAAATCGTGAGATTACAATTACTCTATACCTTACTTTCTAATTCTTTGTTCCTGAATTATATCCTTATACACAATCTTTTATATATTACTACCATTGAAGTAACTAATTCTATGAATTTGGTGTTCATCTTGTTGTGCTAATAAGATATGTCAACTTGAACCGACGCATATATGTTCCTGACCCTACGTTGTAGCTGACTGACAATAAAAAAACGTACAACCGAGTTAACTTAATAATATTATTATGGGAAGAAGAAAAATTAAAACCTAGCTTAGAAACGTGATTCTGATCCTCAAATATTTCTTATATACGATAACTACTAGCAGCCGTAACATGTTTAAATTATAAATGCCTGAAGATTGTTAAACGTGTGGGATGAGAACTGCAGTGATATTTTGCTCAAGATTTACAGAGAGGTAGAAGATGAATGTATTTGCGTAATCGTTGGAGATTTTAAGCGATATTCATGGAAGGTTTTTAGTCATTCTCAGCAGTCTTGGCAGTTGCTTCCAGCAGGCTTGCATTTTCGTACTCGGGCCGGACTAACATTCACTGTTTCCATAGATTAATGTCATATTCTAGTCGAATAAATAAAGGCAGTTATGTCCTAGTAAATATTCCACCTTGATCGTATTTACTTCAATTTTATGTCGATTCATTTTTCCTGTTTAACTCGTATTTTAGATATTAGGGCCTCATCACCGAACTCTACTTGTCGCCATACAAAACAAAGTCCCATACTCGTTGTTGACGAACTAGGATATCTGTGTAATTATTTTAATCTCCTGACAAATAGTTGTTGCCCGTTTCAAAACTTAACACAGCGCTTTTTTTGTCATTCATGCAAATCTAATTACTGCTGTTCTATCTACGAACATTGTGTTTCTTGCTGCCTCAATCCAATTAATGTAAGTTACAGCTTGCTATTGTAGTACTTTTTACTATTTTTCAAAATTTAAATGTTAGTAAATAAGTACATCTGAAGCTCCAACCACAAGTTTTTAGTTCAGTTCCCGTTTTATCTACCAATGTTTAAATAATTAGTTGTCACCTTTAGCTCTTATAAAATAGATATGACGCGACCTAAATGTGCGTTGTTATCGAATTAATGTAAGTTTGAACTCAATCATCTCTACAACCCTATAGTGAGAAAACTTGTTTAACTTTAGTTTTAATAGTTCGTAAAAGATACAGTTCTATGTAGACTCTTCTGTGGAACGTAACCATTGAATTGGATTTGCATCTTTAAGATGAGCTTGGTTAACAAATTTCTGGGTTGGCTCTGAATATCGGAAGCCAATAAATAGAATAGGAGCCTCAACGCAGTATGCAAAACATGCCACTGACCTCAGAAATATTTACACGAAAACTTAATCGTAGTTTCGAGGTATGTGTATACACATATTATATGTATCTGCAAAATCAGTTTTTGTATTTTGATGGCACACCACCTGAACATGACATGCAAGTAAAAAACATTCGAAATAACGAGTACAAAACATACCTCTGTCATATTGAGATTCTCAGAAACCGTAACAACTAGAAGGCTAAAACATAGGCCTTACGTTTAACAAAAGACAGTGGTTAACATTCAACTACCCCGGAGTGATTGAAACGACATGTGACTAACTTGCCTTTTTTAACATTTTTCATTCAATCATGACTACAACTCAACGTGTCAAGTTTTAACTTTCCATTTTCTTATTTTTGTAAATTCCTAATAAACAATATTCTTGAACTGCCATTTTACTTATCGATAAATACTTTGCTAAATCTCAATTTCGACTCCATCAAAACTCTTCCAAAAGATTTCCTGCAATGTTATGAACAGTTCATCTTAATTTACAAGCATACCAAATGGAGACTTATCTTTGAATCTCCTTATAGGTTGGTATCAGTGGTGACTCTTAATGGTATGCGTTCTGTTCACTTAATTCTGAACGAATCAATGTCGACTCGGTGGTCAGAACGTTTGACTTTCAGTCGTTGAGTTTCATTTTGCTTAGAATTTGAATTGATTCGATTTTTATTTTCAACTAGGCAAATATTAAGCTGCATTTCTCTTTTATGTTACATTTAAGAAATCCCTGTGGGATAAAGTTCAAAATCTTAGTGCTAACTATAAACGTCATCTACAATTAGCTACAGATGCATTCGAATTTTGTATAGCAGTTTGTAGAACTTCTTCACTAGTAAGTATTTATTATTGCTAGAATTGGTCACTGTTAATAGTAGTTTTAACTTTGTTTATATTATTCCTATGTTCATATTTACGCCTCCAATAGTAAGCTTACCAACTCCGTTACCCAATTTTTTAATGAGATCAATAACCCGCCAAATGCCCTGGTATGGCCGAGAGCGGGGTGGGTCCGCCCTCCCTCTCGAAATACTCTCACACGGCCACGCGTATACAGTCTTTGCCAGGGAAGTCCTACTCACTGCCTTCTCGTGGCGGGGGTGTTGTTTACGAGAATGAGAGGACGGAAAGCGAATATCCGGCGCTTTAACCGGATCCCAAACCAATGGTGCACATTGGCTCCAGTATCCTGCAGGAACAAATGGCGTATGAACCAATTTTCGGTCACCGGCTACCATGGGACTACATCTCCTTACGATGCTCCACTGCCTTGTGGGTTAGACCTTTAGGTCAAAGGCTCGGGGTGTGGCCTCCTAAGATAACCACCTGCTTCGGTCTGGGCACCCGGGGAGTATCACAGCCCACACGCAAATGATGAACTCTCTATATTTATGGAAACTACTTTTCTCGCAAACTTCCACATTCATAAGCTTCCAGTTAGAACACTAAGAACCCCAGGGAGTGGTCGAAAATACCTTTATTTGTTTACATTCATAACTCAATGTGTTAAATAAAAAACAGGACCACAACACAACCATAGTACAAATATTAGTAGATACGTAACTAAGATATTCCTAATTCTAATCTGAGTAACAAATGTATAGTCAGTAGGCTGAAAAGCTTATAATTAAGGCTATACAATTCTCATAATATGACTACCTGATAAATAATCATTAAAATGTACCATCTAGTTCGCCAAAAATTATCTGTCCATATTTCAGATTTCTCTTTCCTTTTGTCTTCCTAAGAATTATCATTACGCGAAATGTCTTGGTGTTTAGCATTGAATTTAATGTCTCCTTGCGTTGCATTGGCTAGTCTTCTCACTAGATAGCTCATTCAATTAGGTAGTACCGAAGTAGATGTTCGTTAGAAATATCTAGCTCAATCCAGGTTCCTTCATTTCCTTTAACAGGCTTAGTTCGTAATAGAATTAAGCTTAACACTACGATGTTTACCTAACACCAGTCAAGCTTCAAGTAAAAGTTGACGTGATCTGATTTCTGTCACTTAATAATTATGACAGTTTGTGTCGTTTGGGTTTTACATATCAATAAAATGCAAGCATATTGCCGATGAATAAAGAGATTCTCCGATCCATTATTAGGAATTTAATATCATGGTTCCAACAGTAAACAAGTTGAATTCCAAAGGTCCCCTTAAGGTCAAAACAATGCGAGTCATGCTAAAATGCATGAAGCTTAATTTAACGGCTTCTTGTCAATCGCATCCTATTGCAAAACTCAATCTGTCGGGAATTTGAGTCTGTATTTCTTAGGTGATTACAGTTAATTATTTACAGAACCTCCTACACACTCAGTATTAAATCTTGTACATTTGCACTGTTGCATTTTAGAGTGTCTTGCATGAAAATCGGTACCGCAATTTGGAAGAACTTTATTGCTTTGGGCTGAAAAGTTCAAATACTCCAACACACTGATTGACTTATCAGTAAATTTTTATAGATTGTAAGTCTTACTTCTATCTACATAAATTTCCCATTCTGATTGTAGAATAACCTTACCATTGTATGTTTATTCAGGTGACTAGTCTCAAACAGAACAAGGGTGTGAATAAAGATGGATGGTGGGTAGCAGTGAAATCCAGGACGCGCGTTTCGTCCTGTTTTGAACTCGTCAGCTGTGTGTACATGCACTCGAGTTGATGTTCACTCCGGGACTAGAACCCAGTACCGCCCGCTTCAAATGCCATCATATTATCCGCTTAGCTACTGAATCCTGATAGCCACTCGATTGTGAAATGGGGCGAAGTTTAAATTCATTTTGTTTTGTTTGTTTGAATCTTCCCATTGATGCTTAGGACTGCAGTTGATTTACACTTCCCCATCGTATAAGCTAGTGGCTATTGAGACTCAGTAGCTAAGTGAAATAAGACAACGGCGTTCTAAGCGGACGGTACTCGACTCGAGTACCGGAGTAAACATAAACTCAGATGCAAGTGCATCCAGCTGACGAGTTCAAAATAGGACGAAACGCGCGTCCTGGATCCTACTGCTGCCCACCACCCATCTTTGCTGATAATGCTTGTGACTTAAGGTAACATCGAGGCAATCCTCACAGGTTGCACATACGCCAATAACAGACTGACCAATTGCAGTCATAAACATCAATGGGAAGATTCAAATAAACAATACAAAATAAAAACAAGGGTGTGTTATGGGCTGCTGTGCTATTGGCCACATAAAATATTATCACCGATTCTTTTCAGTAAGCATATTTTACTGATTAGTGTCAGTAAAAGATTTAGACGTAGTTTGTGGCAGAACATTGATAAACTATTTTCGTACTTCCATTTTGTTTTTTGAACTTTGTATTTTACATATTCTCAACATTCATCTCTTGATTCTTACACAACTACTATTCTACTGACCATTCATCAAAATGTTCTGTTCCTTCTCTTCTTCATATGTTATGCAACGTAGCAGCTTCTTGATTTTCGAACAATTACTTTGATTATTATTAATCCTCTTTCTTCCAATTACCCAATGTTAATTTATGATCGAAATGTCATTATGTAATTATTATGTAACGTATCTACTCGATGAGTATTATTTCATTATTGTAAATCATATATATATTAGTGTGGATCCATGATGAAAAACAAATTGAAAAGAAATTTCTTTGCTCGATTCGTACCTTCTTTATTTACGAATTACAGTCATTTAGTTAACTTCTGTCTATGAATTTCATTGTATTCTTTCCTTAATTTCAAAAATCCAGCATCACAACGCTTTCTTTTAACTAAGTTTACTGTAGTTTTAAGGTAGAGTTTACATGGATTCAAAAGAATATTTTAAAGTTATTTTCACCTTTATTAAAATATCTTGATCAGTATCGTCACTTTCTTCATTTATACAGTCATCAATATGTCACTAGATCATTGTAAAAATTTGGCCTACTATCTACTAACTACAAATTATGCTCCATATCAAAATGAAAAGTTGCAACACTTGTTTGGTCATATTAATGATGATAAAAGTAGTAAAACACGGAGAAAACCTCTTTCGAAAGCTCCTACTACTGCAAACACCACTAACAGTGTTACTGTCAACATATCATATGGAGATAATTCCTTGCCTGTATTATCTAGAAATACTCAACAAAAGAAACATTATAATTTCTTAATAAAAATGCTTAAACGTGACAGTCTCTTGCCAGAATCACTATGGAATAACGTAAGTGAACTTTCGTGGGCTATATCTTGAATGTGTGTACGTTCAGAGTGTAATATTTTCCTTCAATTTATTTGTCCATGAAATACGTTCTTATCTGTAATTGTCGGCATACAACATCGTAAATGTAAAAATCAGTTGGAAGCAACCGTTTAGCGGTCAAATTAAATCGTCTTAGATCAGTAGTCATCAAAGTAAGTTACTCTTACAGTGATGCACCTGTAAGATTCAGTGCTCTGTATTTTTTGCATATAAGATCCTAGTGTAAGTCTATGACTGCTCTATTTTCAAAAGCAAAGGATTGAGTTAGGCATTATGTAAAATATAATCACCGAAGGGCAACACCACGTGTTTAATATGGAGATTATATTTAAATGTCTTTATTATGGCAACCAGATGCATCGATAAGTTGACAACGAACATATTTTATTGAATGGTAATGATGTACCAATAAGTACTCCGTTTCCTCAGTTTGGTTCTTATAGACCTTCAGCAATATTATAAGGTAACATAACTACAGAGAATTACTTGTGTCCGATTTTTTACTGCTATTTTTTATCGATTCATAATTCACTGAAAAGGTTATTAGCTTGACGTTGATTAATCAAAAAGTAGGACAATTGTTAAATGCACACTTATTGTGAATTGACTTGAACGAAAGAAGCTACTGGGAGAGATAAGGAGTATTATACAACTATTTCACTCTAGTCTTAAACTCCTTAGCGGTCCGCACATATACGACTTCATACCTAAAGCGGATTCCAATAATTCACCTCATATATAACTAATATATTATCAGCAAGTTACTGCCTTCTTATAATCGGCTAAGTTTTGGAGGTGAAGATTTGTCACTGGAATTTCTGGAAATCTGTTTCTAGACTATTCACTAGTGAACACACGATCATTAGTATTATGTTGGTTTTGTGCGGATCCTCTCATTACTAACTGAAAATTAACTGAAAACAAAATCCATTATGTAAAATTTATCTGATAAGACTTTTTGATGAAGTAAAGTAAGCTTTTGCTCCACTAATAGGCATCTAAAGAGTATTAACTTTGCAGTATACATACGAACTCGTGTCAACAATGTCAATTCTCAATTTTACATAACTATCATCCATTGTTATCTGTGATACCTGTATCATACATAGTTGAATCCCATCGCTTAAATTGTTTCACAATGGGACTTTGGGGATTTTCCTTGAAACCTGTGACTAGTGATATAGTTGATTGCTGAATGTTAAGATAGTTCACATTAGCTGACTGACTTAAGTTATAAAAATATTCTTCCTGTTTTTATCTTGTGGTTGTTTTAAAATAATTCAATAATTTCATCATTCTTTATTCTATTCTGTCTAAAGGTTTATAATCAACTATGTGATAATTTTGTTTGTGAATTAAATTCTTTGCATCGGAATTTTCATCAACTCACATCTACCAGTGCATTTGTTAATTATGTTATTCAATATCTGGGACGTTCATTTAGTATGAAACATAATATTATTCAGTTAACCGATATTGGATTATCAGAGTCATTTAAACATAATAATATTGACAATACTTCAGTGAGTAATAAGCTTCGTTTAGTTTGTGTTCAAAAAGTTTGATTAGTTTCTTCATTGGTTGTATAGCTTTAAATGATCCTAAATTGTTCGTTGTATACTTCCATTTATTGGTGATTCTCCTCTTTTTTTATTTATGTTATGCCTTTAGTTTTGCAAACTATTTTACAAACTTTTAAATTTACAAGTGTATGTAATTTGTGTACTTGTTTTCTGAAATGTTCTTTTTTTGACTTTATCATTTCTCATAATGCTTCCCATATTTATTTTTATAGATCCAGAGATATTCTTTTTACATTTGTTTTCTTTTAACGATAAATAAATTTTATTTTTCATCCTTAAGGAAACTATGTATCCGAAAATTTCTTTTATCCCTTCAACCCTAAGTGTATACATATTTATTTTATTTTAAAGTCCCTCTACTGTCTTGGAAAAATCGACTACATTTTTTGATATTACTAAACAGTAGTATAAATGAATTAGTTTTATTAAAAGTGAACATTTTGTTTTATCAAGGTACTTTGTGCTTCATTTCCGTTTAATTTCTTTTTAACTAGATTTCATTGTTAGCAAAACACCTAAATTAGATTTAGATTATGAATTTATCTCGTTGAAGTATCACGTTTTAAATTAGTCAGTAAGCCACAAAGTAAAACCTGTACGTATGTACATCTGTTCAAGTTGCCATACCCCAATAGCACAGAGGGATGAAGTCAGGCCAAATCCCGGAATAGTAGAGGTAGTAACAGCATCAGAGGTAATAGGAAATATTAGGCATCGAAGACACTGCTCGTAAAGAAAATATAAACTAGCGAAATGAAAACAGAAAAAAATTATGAGGAATTTAGAATCTTAGGAATCGGGGGAAGACAATAAATGGATACACTTGCGCCGTTCCTAACGATTTTAAGCCATATCATTCAAAGTCTCTAACTATTACCTACACTAATCACGAAGACCCTAACCAGATAGTCCATACCTACTTACATGGCCGAGTCCAATTTTCATTGACCGATGCCCTGTTTTATTTTGGTTGCCCTCAGTTTTTTTCCAGCCTAGTCCTGCACCAGAAAACATTGCCCGTCAAGATAGGCGGTGGTTAGGTATACGAAACACGTCCCAGCCACCTCAGTTGATCACGATTTACTACCTCATCAGTCGATTTACCGTCCTTACCCAGTACTCTACTCCTAGACCAGGTATTTCTTACTCCGTGGTCCCAAAATAGACGAGCAATGCTTCGTAGACTTATGATCAAATACTGGTAACTTACGAATATCCTCTATTCTTAATGGCCATGTTTCACATCCATAAAGTAGAACGGAGCGAACTGCCGCACATTAAACCTGCCCTTTGGTTGGAAGATGGATATCTCGCCTACGGCATAAGTGATAAAAGTTAGCAAAAGCCAGTCGATCCTTCTGAAGCCCTGTCGAGATTTTGTCCGACACCAGAACATCAGTAGTGATGAGACTTCCATAATAAGTGACGTGGTCGGTGCGTTCAACTACTTCACTTCCTATTACCCAAGCCCATCCTGAAATAACATTTGACGGGAGACAACCGCATCCCAAACATGTTTGCATTGTTGCCTAAGGTGGTCAGAAGGCTGAATTTTGTCAGCGTCTTCCCCGAAAAGAACTGTATCGTCTGTGTATCCTAAGTCATCAAGGGAATTTAGTGGAAGATCAATCCCTAGAAAGTCAGACGATGAAAGTGTTATCTCTGAGAGCATGTCTATAATAAACTTAAGTAAAAGTGGACAACTCTGATGAACACAATTTAGAGTGACCAATTCCGACAACAGTTCATCGTATGCTCTGACTCGACCAGTAATGTTCCAGTAGAGATTCTGTACATGGTTAATGCACTTTCTTGGTACGCCTTTCATTGACCGACAATGCCCTAGAACCTCACGATCAACAGAGTAGAGTGCTGTCTTAATATCAAAGAATGGTGGGACGTCGAAAAGTATGGCTGTGTTCTAGCATCTGCCGGAATGTGAGTATTTGGTCTATACATCCACAACCAGGTCTGTAACTATCCTGACTTTCTCGTGTTAACTCTTCACGAGCCCTAGTTAGATGTCAAGTATTGTTGAAGCTAATATTTTATATACTATTAGTTCAATTGACTCTGTGATTATTACAAGGGGATTTTTGTCATTTCTTATAAACTGGGACGATCAGCGATCGAGACCATTCAGGTAGAATTACGTTCAGTTTTCAGTTAACTACTAAGACTAGACCATCATCCTTAAAAATCTCAAGGGTTAGTCCATCGGACCCTGCTGCTCTCCCTGGCTTTAGATTACTTACAGCCTTTTCAACTCCTTTAAGAGTTGGAGGACTTACACCAGTTTGCCATTCAGGTTGCTGGGAGATGGTGGGTAACTGTAGTGTGGCTGAAGGCCAGTTGGACTGTTCCCTAAAGTGTCCTGCCTGTCGGTCTAATCTCTTGGATTAAGAGTGAATAACAGTCCCTTCATTTTCTGTGACGGTTTCATTAAAAGCCGTATTTCTAATACCCGTTTGCTTGATAAGTCTGAACAGTTGTCGGCTGTTACCCATCGCTGCTGCACCTTCCATCTATTCTATTTCGCTACCTACCACTGCTGACGATTATTACGTAGGCTTTCTACCAGCCTACATTTAAGCTGCCGACGCTTCTCACCGTGTTCTGAGCCAGACGTTATATGTTTCTGAGGATCTGCCAGTCCTGTAGACGCCTTTGAAATCCACTGATTTTTCTAGGCTTTTGGTTTAAAGCCACTAGCGAGTGCCACTGATGTTTCCACAGCATTTTGGATATCATACCTAGTTGCTTCTAAGTGGATATCATTTTCACGGTTGAGTAGCGCCTTCTCTAGTTGTATCTCATGTCAATTCTCAACTTTCTTATCATTAAGTTGGGCTCTAAATGGTTTTTTTTGCTGTGACTTCTCTACGTTTAGTAGAACGTGCTCGAACTAGAGCGCAATCTCAGTTTAAACATGTGCTCCAGAATGAACGACAGTTCAATCAAGCCCATCTGATGATGGCTAATGGCTTTAAACGATCTTAAGTTAATCATTCCTATAATGAGTGTCAGTTGTTCTGGTAACGTAGTTGTGATCTCCATTGGTCTGTCTGAAACAATACAGAGTAGAATTACAGCAAATCAGTTAAGTGCATGTCCATTGGTTCGTTAAAGCATACTAAAAGCAATGTTTTTATTCAGTTGATTACACTTAAACCTGTTTGTCAAGTACAGTTTTATGCTCTCGGGTTCAAGTTATATTCCAGATCCCAGGACTATTGACACTAGACAGGTGTCCCAACTGAATTAGACAAAGTGGCGTTCTAACATTTAGCACCAAACTATTACACCAGTGGTTGTACTTGGGAGACTGGCTAAGAGTTTTCAGACTTTTATACGTTCTGGATGTTGTTGTTAAATGTTTTAATTGTCTACAATATAAAAATAATTTTGGCTTGTATAGAATATGCTTCAGAGTATAAAAATTTCTGTTGTTTTGCGATAAAGTGATTACTTCTTGTTTAAGGTATGATCATTTTAAAATCAATAAATCATTTCTCGTATTTAGGATGCACGTGTACATTTGAATATCAATTTGTAGTTACTTGCGAGTTGGTGTCCTCAGCTTTTTAGACGAATGAAAAGTAAGGTAGAAACATCCTAGGTAATATAGTTGAATGGCTTTTTTGTCAATTACCACTGATACCTATACTAGTTTATTTAAACTTTCGGACATAAGTGTAACCGTTTCTACGGAGATATCTTTGTTTGAGAAAACTGTTTTGTTTCAAATTGCAGTAAACAACCATATAGTTACTTGAGCAAACAAAGACAACATTGAAGAAGTCGCTACTCATATATTTACTAACGAATAGTTATACTATTTGTGCGATATTTAAATTGTATTGGAAATTTATGATAACAATTGAATTTCAAAAGTGACGACAACAAGAACTAAAGAATTCAAAAATCGAGAGAAGTGTATGGTTAAATGATTAAAACAAAATTGAGAATAATTAGTGTTGAGATTATTTTTAGCTGTGTGATGTAGTTATTAAATTCATTTAATGTGTTAAATTTTCTAAAATTCTATTTCTATAAACCAGATACTTTGCAGAAAAGAGTATGACTTAGAAATTTTTATCGATACAGAATAAATCCTCTGATCTGTACCAGAACGCTACTTAATAAATTTTCCATGGCAGTTAGCCTCATATTTTACTTATTTACGTCTGCTGCACCTCCTGGAACATAGGCCACCGACCAGGATTCGCTGACCAACTCTGTCCTGGGCTCATGGCAGGCACTTTACTACAAATGATAAGTCTTCACTATAACATCATCTATGCTTTCTGAGTACAATAACCTATAAAATGGTCCGCGTAGTTGAGAATATCTTCTTAAAACTGTGCGATATTTTCGTAGTGAAATAGGTTCTCATTTTGAGCTTAGACAGTAAATAACGACTGTTTTTTATCATCATTAAGGATAATGTTCGTTTCGCTTGACATATTAGTTTACCCTTTTTCTCTATTTCTAGCTACTGATTGATGCTATCTGATTACATACACACAATTTTTGAGCTGCAATTTTTTTCGGTTATCTTGCATATAAACCTTTGTAGCTTGAAAAAGAATTCGAGAAATCGTCAATTCTACGCTTAGAGATTTATGTTTCACATTACTGATATGAATATAGTAACATGACAATTCCTCCAAAATTACTTCTCAATTATGTAATAACTAGTCATTCTATTCTACAAAAGTTTTAAACTGACCCGTTGTGATCAGTATCCTGTCTGATTATTACTTCCCGGTTTTAACATAATATTGTTTTCCAGGAAATCCTAGTTACTCGAAAATAAATAGACGACATCGATCATTTATCAATATTAATTGATTTTTTCCTACCGGAATTATGTACATTAAAATCTGAGGGAATAGTCAACTTCATATTAATGATATGGATAATAATAACTTATTTAAATTCCAAGATAAAACACTATCAAATAAACTGTCTGTTCCTAGTTTTTTTTTCTTGAAGTCAGTTACAAAGCCTTCTACTATGGTTTCAAAGGTGTTTATTTTAGCTCAGATAAATTATTATTATTATTTAGTTCATGTAGTCAATCGATTCTTGATTTCTTTCCTGTATTGAGAAGCGAATTTATGAGCATTTAAGATTCTGAAACTGCCATAGTTGTATTCATTCAATAAACTTTAAATTTTATGACTGACCAAATTACGAAATAGTCTATTATACTAAGATTGCTATGAAACTGAAACCAAACTCACTTTTTATGTATGTTCTGGTATTTACTAATTACAACCGGATAGTTCAAACTGAATCTCATGTTCACTGAATAAGGAATTATAACTCCATTGAATCCACAGACTTGAAGTCCTGTAGAAAAACTAGCTGACTCTTTTTATGTTATAAATTGTTTTGATAAGACACTAAGAATACGTACAACAAATTTATCACTCTAATAAATTTTATTGCTCAAGTTAGTGTAAGTTTATCACACGTTTCACAATTCTCCTGTTCAGGAATTGGAAATCTGATTCAACGCTCACATATTAAACTTAATGAAAGAGCGAAAAGAATCTTGATGATAACTGCTTTCGAATTTGAATTTTCTGACTTCTAGCATTCATTGACATTTCTTTAATTGAATGATATCAAAAGAGTCTGAATAAATAACTACACAGTTATATTTGTATTTATTTTAATACAAAAGTGTATGACGACAAATATGATTAGAATACACAATGTGAAGTAATTGAACACGATGATATCTGATTACTGAATATCCTTTCAGTTTAATATTTCAAATATTGCTCAATATTTTTGTATCTCATTGAGAATATTTTTCAACATTCAACCAGAATAAAATCCACATACAATTTAATCCGGGATTTCTAAGTTTAGCTGGTAGAATAACTTTAAAAAGAGGGGTCTTAATTAGTCTGATTTTAAAGAAAATCTATTGGTTATCGACTACTGATAATGATTACTTGATTGACATTTAAAACATTTCATAGTCGAAACTCATTTGAAGCTATATATCTAGAATTTAAGTTGCATTAATAATCTCATACAGTTAATTGAATAGCACACAGGAAATAAGTTTAATTTGGTCTAAAGATTTTACCCTTTTACAACATAATGTAGTCTTAACAATGGATTTACGAAGAAACTGTTTGTAGTTCTACGAAAATAGTATAGTGTTGGTGCCATGAAATAAGTTCAACAGAAACTGATTTATTCATAACGTAAACCATATTAATAAATAGCGAATATATATTTCTCACATTCAATCAAGACATTCAGTTGCTAATGTACAAAGATTAACAAATAAAAATGAATCAGTTGAATTTATCAATATTAAGGAAAAAATTAACACAGTAACATAAAAAAGTGAGAATAATTCGATTTAAAATATGAATATACTTAATAAATAATTTTACTAACACGACTGACTGAGATTGTGTTTATTGATGTTTCTTCCAATTGTACATTTTTTCTTATTTGTCGGATCTATTTCTATTTCAGATTGATGTGAAAACAAAAGAACAAATATTATCACACTTGACAGAGGCTCTTGCGAACACCTTATTAAAATATCCAATTCATTTAGCTTATAAAAGGTTAGTTAATTTACTATTTTCAAGCGTAAGTGATCCATAAATACGAAATAATTCTAACGAAGCTAATTGTTGATTAGAAGCTGATGTAATTTGATATCAAAAAGGTATTAAACCCGTCAAATATATTAACGTTAGTAATTTATGGATGAGTGGACAAATGAGTTTTCCTAATCAAATAATCCTAGTGCTCATTACTTATTTTTCATTTAGTTTAGAGTGTTTAAGCAAAAAGTAGAGACTGGCTATATATATGATAATAATGTGCATCACAATTCTTGTAGTAAAAAATTTTCGATAGTGAATAGTTTTTTATTAACAGCATTCGTCAGATGAGATATTCACTCTAAGAAATAATGATATATCTGGAACCTTACAAATAAACTAGAAATAATCACTAACTCTCAAGCTTTTTCAAGATGTGAGTTATGTGTTGAGAATATTGAAGCTTTTGGAAATAACCTAAGATGTTAAAGTTTCGACAAACTATTCAATATTGTTCTAATGAGCAGAGAATGAAAACATTGAAAGCAAGAGACCTATTCCATATATGTGGACAGTCTAAAGTTGTTTGTTCCACCAAGACAAACGTCATGACAGTAGTTTTGACCACTGTCAGATTCATTGGTGAAAACAGGATACTATCTTCCAGATTTAGACATAATTACCAAATCTTTAACAAAATCAGTTAATTTTATGCGAGGATGTTCAAGTAAATACCACATTCAGTAGGTCGAGTAACTAAAACAAAGATCTGGCTTTATATGTGAAAACTATATTTGGAATAATCTCAGCGATTGAAATTTAAACAGTTCCAACTTTTCGTCCAGCTAACTTGTCTAGACTACTTCAGGGTAATAATCAAAATCAAAATCACCAAAGAAACATATAGCTTTTTACCGATCAAAACTACACTGTGTTAAACGAATCAAATTTGGATGCTGAAGAAGTCCAGACAAGTTATCTGGACGAAATATTGGAATTATTTAAATTTCAATCGCTGAGATTATTTCATATATAATTTTCACATATAATGACTTCTCTATACTCTGCGCCTAATTTCTGTCAAACTATGCGTTCTAACCTTGACGAATATTTGTATAAACATCTGGCATGTTTTGTTGTGGATTACATGAGAGATAATATGAGCATTCTGATTGAGAGTTAGCCAATTACCAGTGGTGTTTTTTAAAATTTTAATAAGAAATACTTTAACTATACTCTTAGAGTAAAATATCTTAAAAAACACTAGTGTATTAATAGTCTGAGTGAATTAACACATAATTTTGTATTTGTTCTTAGACCACCTTCAGGCTTAGAAACTGTCAAATCGTACGTCTCTACATTTCGTAAACAATGCAAGGAAGTTCTAGAATATTGCCTATCACACTTCGAGGCAAATTATTTAGTGAGTGATAAGTAAAATAAAATAAAATTTTTGTGTCCTAAAGTCACATGTGATATCTGCTAAACCTTGAAAATCTATGTTACATTATATATCACTTACAGTCAATTTAATTAACAGCATTGCTGGGACTTAAGAAACATACTGGTAAAAAGTGATACTACTATATAGTAGTTTATATATTTTGTATGAAAATTAAAATCAAAATTTTACTAAACATTATGCCATAAACTTCATTAACTTCTTAATCTAAGACAATATACTCGACCTTACCATTGAATATATGTCGACAATGTTAGTGTTTTGAATTGTTCAATGATTGAAAAGCTGTAATCTTCATGAATAAACTATGTTCATGAATAATATTTCTAATCCAAATTTTTGGAACTGATAATATTTCAAAATTACTATTTAAGAGATTCTGATATCTGACCTTTCACAATGCATACAGATTGATATAAGTAACAGAATCGGTTTTATTTTCACGAATATTTCACTGCCAACTAACCTTTTAGAGCTAAGTCAAATCCATAAATATGTTTTACATACACAGAAGTTTTCCTCATTTATTATCTTGCAAGTATTCCAGTTTTATCAGAAGGGCTTTTGTGAAGATTTTAGAAATTTCACAGATTGGAATCATGAGTCAATTGAGGCTAGACCACCATGGAAAACCTGGAAGAACTGAATGGCCGTTTCGTCTTAGTATGGGACTCATCAGTAGTGCGCATCCACGATCCCGCACCCCGCGAGATTCGAACCCAGGATCTAGGACGAAACGGCCGTTCAATGCTTCCAGGTTTTCCATGGTGGTCTAGCTTCAATTGACTCATGATTTCAATCAGTGATATTCCAGTTTTGTTTAGTTACCTTAGGCTTATTCTTAGAGAACAACTTTAACCTCGAATTTCTTCCCCAATCAATTAAAAATAAATAATTGTCGGTGAAAATCAGTGATTTTATTGCTAATTAACCGATCGATAATATACTATGATCAAAAACTGTAAAATCAAGATAATATTTTAAATAATAGTACCAATTAAAACAAGAATAAGTTCTATCTCACATTAAACAAAAATAATCGATAAATCTAAATTATCGGCATTTCATTTACCCCTTTTTTGCTTCCATTTTATTCTCTTTTCCTCTTTTTGTCAATGTTTCTGTGAATTTATTCATATCCTTTTTGTTATAGGCGGTTTTTTTATTTTCATGCCTAGTTTGTTGAAATTAAATATCTCTTTATATTCTATTGTTTTATTTCAAATGTTACAATAAAAATAGGGGGAAATTTTCTTCTTTTTTGTTGTTTTGATTAATTGGCTTGTATTTAATGATTCTTATTTGAGATAACTATTCTTCAATTTACCTACCTGTTTTATATACAATATAAATACATTTAGACTATTATCACATTTTTTAACAATAAAAAATAACCCTAATAGAAATTCCCAAATTACAAAATCATGTTACATTCCATAACCTTAGTGACAATAATTTCATTTTAATAAAAAAAATTAAGTTCTTTTTACACTAAAACAAAATATCGGCAAATAATTGACAATACACATTGCCATTGAAAATAATAACTTTTTTTTAAATTGTAAGAATGGTACATTGTTTAGTTTTAATTCAAAAGTATATTGTGTTAAATTATCGAAAAAGAAACACATCAGATCTTGCAAATTAAGTTTTAAGATATTTATTATTGATTATACTGAAATTTGGTATATTAGCATAAATATATAATATATAATGTACCCTTGTGAGCTAGGTTAATTTTACATTGGTTTTCAGGAGAACTAGACACAATCCAGACTCTCATGTGACAACCAAAATAGTACAACTCAATCCTGTTTAACAGGAGAGCCAAACACCGCCCAGGCTTAAATTTTATAACCCGAGCAGTACAGCACAATATCGCTTCACAGGAGAACCAGACATCGTGTAGGCTTTAACGCTAAAATTTGAATTGTACAGCTCAATCCTGTGGTGCAACCACACAGGTACCAAGCACCCTGGTGTTTTTTCTTTTTTGACTTACCAATCAAATGTTATCATACATGAGTGGAATAGTTAGAATGGCAGCAGAAGCTGATCTAGTCTAAATAGTAAATGCGGAAAAAGAGGTGAGACTATAATTTATGGACGGACCAATCAGATTTACGATAACTGGTCTTGGATTTTGGCGCGAAATTCATTCACCCATTTGGCTAAACAGTATCCTGGTATTATAGCTGGTGTCAGTTCGTGATGAAAACCCTAAATCTAATTCCTAAACGTAACTGTCAACTATAAATCATAATCCTTATTCTTCAAACTGCTTTATAACCCTCACTTAGCCCTAGTAAATAGGTAGACACTCTCCCGGTCACTTAAGCGTCGCTCAAAAGTTTTCCATAAATTATGGTCTCACCAAAAATGCGTGTACTTCATCAATAATGTTCCTCATTGCTTAAAGCGAATCATTTAAGCAAGTTTATTTTCAAGGACTCCATTTACCGTATGATAGTTTGCAATTAGATGGATTTGCATTATGGAAAATTCTCCCAAAATGATTTAAAACCACATAATCTACTCACCGTGACTTTTTAGTAAATTATTTGATTGTGGTTATTAAAGCTGTACCATTCCTATTTGGTAAATATTTAACTGAGACAATATCAAAAACACCGTTTTATGGTTGTACGATGACTGAAATTATTAACAAACAATCAATGTTTGTATATTTCATTTGACTGGAAAATTTGAAGCTGTTGTCGAATTTAAATCAGTCTTATCTCAATGACCCATGACGTACAAATGGATCTATGACATATGGCTACCTAAAACATTTTCGTTTTACAAGCGCTACTAACTATTCAATCTGACAACAGTATCAGTAGCCCAACTAGATGTTTTAATCCTTCTTCGAAATTGACAGTCATTTAACGGCATATCAAAATATCTGACAGTTTTCTTTAGTGGTTATTAGTTATAAGCAAAGAGTTTGATAACAAAAACAACCAAAGGTAATCACATTCTTATTTTATGTTCTACTACAACCTCTTTACCTGAATATTTTGTTGTGATTAGCATGACAGATGTATATTACTAGTTCTTTATTTATTTTATCAATGATAGTGATCATAAACTCATAGATGGGCGAATGGCCAGAATTTTAGGGAAAATAAAAAAATTTAGTCATAAAAGAGTAAACAAAATGTGATTGTAGATTGACTGTATAGACAATAATTAAATTATGAAACCTTTATTCGGAGGTTTTGAGTTAATAATGAGGTTATTTTATATTTATTTATAAGTTGCTCGGACATCAAGAATCATAAAACGAGAAATAACAGAATCCCATGAGGCATTATTTATTTGTTAAATACACAATTTTAAATCCTTTTCAACACTCATTCCAATTGCTTTTAACTCTAGTGTGTCTCAAAGTATCTATATGTGTTTTATGTCAAATAAAACTACAATGAGATGCTTTCTGAATTTCACTGATAAACATTACTCTTTATGCTTTTGACTCCTCCGGTTTCAGAGGAAGAACGACTGATAAATTTTCAGTCAGCTTTTTAATAACAAATCAGAAGTTATAGGTTAGATTTAATAAATGATACATATTTCTTACAGTACAATAAGCTTTTCGAAGGATCCGATTTGGTGATGGAAGCTATCTCTAATTGACAAGACACCTCTTGTTATTAATGACTAACTGATAAAATCAATGAAAATAATTTGGATAATGAAAATAATCATTAGTCATTTTTACGATTTTTCTTAAAAAGTAAAGACATTTGAAAAATAAACCAATTATTAACAAATAGATATATTAATGCTTAGGCCCTATGTTTTAAGCATATACACACGGCTTCAATAATCCATAATAATATCACTCAAAATAACGTAAGTTAGTCAGTAGTAAATGCTGTAACACTGTGAACATTTTGCATAATATCGGAGTATTTTTTTACCATCTTATCATTACTATCATAGTGTATCCTTATCAGTGGATTAATATATAAAACATAAAACAAAGTTAACTACATATCCTTACGTGATAAAGAGTTGTGATTTAACTGAATTATATAAATTTCAACCACTTGGTCAAAGATTTGCTCTGACAATTTTGGCCTAGATATACAATTGGTAAGATTATCTATCAAAAAGTGGGTATTTTTTTATAACTAAATATATGAAACCATACTTGATCAATAAGTTATCTGAATACGTAGAGTATGGTAATAAGAACTGGCACATCAATATTGCTTACAATGGCGAAGTACCTTATTACATCCAAGAAAGTGATAGTTGAATGCAACTGTTTAGAGTTTCAGAAATTATCTTTGTGGTTTTATTTATTGGCAATAAAATCCCATCTAAGGCTTTCTCTCAGAGCTTCTGCATACTAGGGGTAACCTTGCAAGCCAACTTGAGTGGTCGATGGAGATCGGACTAATAACCCACTCCGTTGTATTTTTGATTAACTCGCGGCTCACTTAACTGCACCGGGCCACCTGATGTGTATGCATATGTATAAGAATTACAGAAGTACTTATGCCTATGTAGTTCATGTATTTATGTATATGAGAAGGGTGTGTGTGCGGTGTCATACAATGGAAACGTTAGCTGAAATATTGTCTGCCTTATGTTTAATAAAATCACCGGCCTAATCTATCAGGTCGAAGACGCAATGAGAAGATATGGTTGCAAATACTAGGTAGACGAGACCAACAACCTCCCCTGAGAGAATCCTTATGCTTAAGAGCGTACCAGGAGGTACTGAGGCGTTAGCCATGGGCTGAATAATATGCATGTAATGTGTGAGAGACAGTCTGTTGTAGAAAATACATTTCAAAGAGAGCGGTGAACATCTACCCTCCCTAAGTGAGTGAATATACCTATGTGCATGCTATGGAATGCATGGAGTACAACATGTGTGTTGCCGGTATGCATGTATTGTATATTTGCTCACGGGATAGGTATACCTGTATTTATACCAAGAAATA